TTTTTTTTTTTTTTTTGAAACACTCTGTTGCCCAGGCTGGAGTGCAGTGGCTTGATATCGGCTCACTGCAGCCGCCTCCCAGACTCAAGTGATTCTCCTGCGTCAGCCTCCCGAATACTGAAGACTACAGGCGCCCACCACCACGCCCGGCTAATTTTTGTAATTTTAGTAAAGATGGGATTTCACCATTTTGGCCAGGCTAGTCTCGAACTCTTGGCCTCCAGTGGTCTATCAGGCTTGGTCTGGTTCTGATTGTCCTTCAGTCCTTGGGTGTCAGACATGCAAGTCTCCAATAAATAGAGAACACGACCTCACCCTGCAGGAGGCCTTTGGAGTGGAAGAGACATGCCCAGTGAAGGCTTGAGGGAGGTATGGAAGGGACTCTGAAGTGACACTGAGCTCAGAGCCTTTGGTTTCTTATCCAGGCTCCGTTGGCCAGGACGGTTCAGGGTGGGATTCTCACCTGCAGAATGAGGGAAGGGACTGCATGATCGTGGGCTCTGCCAGCCGAAGAGGTGGTGGTTCCAGAAGGGAGGGCTTTGCCTGCCCCACCACACCTACAAACACTCTCGCCAAGGGCCTGTGAAGTGTTTGTCCCCAACATTGGTGGCTTGTTTCTTCAGCCATCTTGGCTATCACCTGGGGCTTGGAAGCATTCTTTAGTAGAAACTGAGGTCCTCATTGCATCTATTAACTGCCATAGCACCTGTAGGTAATGGCAACATGACAAGGCCTTTGTTTTCGCCTTTGCTCCCTTTCCTACCCTTGTTTCCAGGTACTCTTGTACCTAAGGATTCTACCAGGAAGCTAATGACTTGGCCTTGATTTGGGGATTCCTGGTGTGCCATTACCCATGTAGGCCCATGTTGGGGAAAGTGTCACCCCACCAGTTCACTGGCCTATTATATTTCCCCCCATATCTCTCTCTTCAAAGGATGCCAAAGTGGATTCCTGTTCAGTTGGCCGTTGCTAAGTGCCACCAATCACATCCTGGTTTCTGTGTTGGGGAATTGCTTTCTATTTTTCTCAGAAAAATTTATTTTTCTTTACTTTTTTGAAATTTTCAATTTCATAACCATTCCAGAAAAATTAATTTATATTTAAAATTTGTAGGCCAGGTGCGGTGGCTCATGCCTATAATTCTAGCACTTTGAGAGGCTGAGGCGGGTGGATCATCTGAGGTCAGGAGTTCAAGACCAGCCTGGCCAACATGGTGAAAATCCCGTCTCTACTAAAAATACAAAAATTAGCCTAGCATGATGGCGTACACCTGTAATCTCAGCTGTTCAGGTGGCTGAGGCTCAAGAAGCCCTTAAACCCAGGAGGCAGAGGTTGCAGTGAACTGAAATCACGCCACTGCACTCCAGCCTGGGCAACAGAGCAAGACTGTCTAAAAAAAAATAAATACAATTTACATATAGTAAAATTCATTTTGGCGTTCAGGTCTGTGGTTTCATAAAGGCATAGAGTCACAGATTCACCATCACAGTCATACAGAACAGGTCTATTGTCCCCCAAATTCCCTCTCGCCCCTAACCTCCAACCCTTTAATTTTGCCTTTTCCAGAATGTCGTGTAAGTGAAATGATACAGTAGGCAGGCTTCTTCCATTTAGCGTGAAGCATTTGAAATTCGTTCATGTGTTGCATGTCAACTGTTGGATCCTTGTGTTTAATGCTGAGTAGCATGCATTATACGGATGTGCCACCGTTTGTTTATCCATTGTTTCGTGTATCATAATAGCAGCCTTTTCAGATATGTCCCTGTTAGACGGTGAGGCACTAGAGATTGGAGGTGCTAAGTAGCAGAGGTGCCTTTTTTTTTCCTTTTCTTTTTTTTTTT